ACTGTATCCGCTGGCTACAGCGATATTTGCCTCGACACGCGCAAGTTCATCCAAGCGGCTGCCGCCGAGCGCGGCACGCCCCTCAGAAAAGCTTGGCTGGCAGACTGGCTGGAAGGCGCCGGCCTCGCTGCCCTTACCGCTCAAGGCCGCGCTGTACTTCAGCAAGCTTCCCGCGTGCGTATGGCCCGCCACTGGTGCCCTATCATGCGCGCTCTGCAGCAAGCTTTCCCGGAGCGCTGTGGCTTGTGCGCCTGTCCCTTTCAGCTCAGCACGCCTTGGGACACGCTTGCAGCGGAAATACACGAGCACTTCATTTCTACTGGGGATGGTGCGTCTTTTCTGACCACCTCCCCGGAAGCAGCGTCTGTTGCGGCTTTTTTGAACGCTTCCCCAAGAGCAGCCTCTGGCAGTGGTGCGGCTTTTCTGCCCGCCGCTGCCGGGGAAGGTGCGTCTTTTCTGACCGCCTCCCCGAAAGCAGCCACGACTCGCAGACCTGCGTGGGCTGACGTGCAGGACGACTCTGCCCACGCCGCGGCTGCGCCCAGCGCCAAGAAAAAGAAAAGGGTGTCCTTCGCGCCAGAGGTGGCCCAATCTGCCGCGGCCGACGTGGAGGACACCGCGCTGTGCTTGGTGCTGCCTTGCGATGCCCCACTAGGCGTGCTCTTTCAGCCAGGTGCGCAGACGCTGTCTCGGCGCGGGGTGGACTGCTTGCTTGACGTTACTTCGGACGCGACCTTGCTTTCGTTCCGGGTCATACAGAGCGCGGAGGACGCTCAAGGCTTGATTGCCTACGCTAGCGAGTTGCTGGCATCTAGTCGGGAGTTGCAGCAAGAGCTTGCAGCGCTGCAGCGTATGCTTGTTGCCGCGGAGGTTTTTCCGGAGTTGCCTCTTGGTGGTATGCCGGCCATGGCGCTCTTCCAGTGTCTGGTCTTCCTTTACATGTGGTCGGTGCTCACCTTGAATTATTCATTTTTGCTGTCCAGCACCTTCTTAAGACTGGTGGCTTTGCCGCTGCAGGAGGCGAAAAATTTTGATATCTTGGCCGTGGTGCACAAGTACTGCTACGTCACGTGGCTCCACCGGACGGCGCGTCCGAGCTGCTGGCAAGGCAACGCTCTCCGCTTATTGCTGCCAGACACTGCCGACTGGGAGGCTTGGTGGGCGGCGCAGCAGGACGTGGCGCACGAAATTGATGAGACTGCCTTCTCGGAAGAGTACGCGCTTATGTGCAGGGATCCTTTGATCCCCGAGGGCTACCGGGCAGACTTGAAGCAGGTGCGGCGCCATGTGGCTGCTTCCGATCTCGGCTTGCTGCCGGAGCTTCCGCCGCGGCAGTCCTTTATGGAGCACGATGTTTACTTGGAGGCAAGCGGCGCTTTGCCCTTGCCGAGAGCCTTGCCGGCCATTCGATGCTCGGCCGGGGCGATGGAGGTGAACTGGGGCGACAACACTGGTGAGCCCCTAAACACTTCGCGGGACAATGTGATCTCCGAGACGGATGTCTGCTTGCAAGTCCCGTTGCCGGTGCCTGCAGATATGACTTTGGGGCACGTCCTGCTTTCAAGGGACTGGCGAGCCTCTTTCGAGCAATCCAATCTCGGCATGCCTTGGTGGATGTCAGACGCAGGCGGCTTTTCTGCCCCTGCTGCTGGCCACGCAGGCGGCTTTTCTGCCCCTGTCTCAGCCCTTGGAGCGCAAATCCACTTGCAAGCTTTGGGAGCTGAAATCATGGCCACGCTGAGGCCCGACAGTGTGATGCATCCACACTTGCGAGCACATGTGGAGCTCATGCTGGGCATGTGTGCTTCCGTGCACTTGGCGCGCCAGGAGGCTTGGGATGCTGCCTTGTATGACTTTCTTTTAGGCTGCGGCATCAGAGCGCAGCGCACGCGTCCTGGCGATGCCGATGCCGGCTGGGTGGCGCATAACTACCGCAAGAGGCACCACGCTGCCCGCTCTGTGGTGCGACCCGTTTGCTGCACCATGTGGGGTGAAAAGTATCGCCCCATTGGATACTTAAACGATGCGGGGGACATCGAGCACTACTTGGTGCACGACACATGCCCTCTTGGAAGATGTCGCAGGCACAAGCAGCTTATGGGCTTTGGCACCGTGTGCCCACACTGGCATGGCTTCAACAAAAAACACGGCATCATGGCCACTCTGAACGCGCAGCGATACTTGAGGTACACGGAGATCGGAAGCAAAGGGGCTGACCCGCGCGCGCGAGACCAGCGGGCCAGCCAGTATCTTCGCACGCTTTTGCAGGAGTTAGGCTTTGTGGCCCGTGCGGACGAAAGAGCAGCAGACGGCGATGACCGCGTGATGCTCATAGGCCTTCCCCGCTGGCTCCCTGAGTTTCACAGCAACGAAGGCCAAGACATACCCGGCTTGGTTGCCTTTACTCCGCTGCACGCCAAAAAACACTTCGAGCAAAATGACATTGACGAGTGTCTCCAGCTTCGCACCGCGGCGCAAGAGGTGCACGATGACCTTGAACGCTTGACAAGACAGCGCTGAATGCGCTTGAGATGCGCCAGGGTGCGTCTTTTCTGACCGCCCGGCGCTTGCCAGGCCGTGTGCCTTGCAGTGTGCCTTGCCTGGCAGCATGCGTCTTTTCTGACCGTGCTGCCTTGAACAGAGACAAAGTGAATCTGCCCGCATAAAAAGGAAAAAGAGCCGGTGGGACAACGGGCGGGCGGATGGTAACAAAGGGTAAATGATGGAGGCTTAAGACTTGTCAAACATTTGCGGTCAGGCAGGCTCCCTGTCAGCCAGGTTTTCTTTCCAGTTTTTGTCCGAGCGGTGGAATAGTTGCCTGTGAAGACATGACCTGTTGATTTCTTTTGTGACCGTTTGGCCATGTTCGTCACAAACAAAACATGATTGGTTTTCAATTTGGCCCCAAACATGTTTGCCCTGGTTGTCCAAGCCTCCTATAGTGGTTCTTTTTTAGAAACTTCCGCCACCGCCTTGCGCGGTACTACTTGTAGCTTCCCTTTAACCAAGCCAATTTATGGCAGTGTCCTGCAACCTTCGTCTACATAGGTTCTGAATCGAGGGCACCCTTTTCACCTGTTTCAACGGCAAGACAAAAAGAAAACCTTGGACCCTGCCCCCCAACACTAACAGTTGCCACGACTGGTGGTTGATCCAAACTGTCCTCCACATTTTTTGTCGGGGGCAGATTCCCCAGGCAAAAACACCTCATCCTTATTTCAAATGTTGACAGAACCTTCAGCTCGAATCAGTCAGTCAGGAAGTCGACAACAGAGCCCAGTGGATCCGGTCGAACGGATACTTCCCGCCACAAGAAGGGAAACTGAACCGCTACGTATTTGACACCCTCTCAACCCTCTTTGGGGTGGTATCTTTTTTGAGGCTGTTCAACCCAGTGGATCCAGTGAACAGCTACCACCTGGTAAGGACTTCCCACAGGAGTTGCGTTATGACAAAACGCCGTCCATTTGCTTAAGGCCCTGGGGAAAAAGCAAATCTGTCCAGTAGCGATAAGTTCCCTTTGAAACCAACAAGGGAAAATGACACATACTCTTAAGCAAATACAGTAGACGAAAACAGGCCTTCAAAAACAGGCACCCTCAAAGATAGGCGTCATATGGCGCACTATCTGTTTGGCTTCCCTGTAAAACCACAAAACAGGCACCCCCAACGAAAGACCCTATTTATTTGGCAAGACCCAGTGGTGAGGTCGAGCCGTTTGGAGCTCGATGAAAATGACCACTGTGGCACCCGTGAATTGTGTCCACCCACAGTAGTGGAAAATAACCATTGTTTGCGATACCAGAGTGGGATTCCCATCTCCACCGGTTTGGAGATTCCCATGGCCTCTCAGAAGTGGAACCTAGACGCCCGTTCTCCACCGTGCTCAAGCATGGAACGACCCCAATGATTCCTGGATCCAATAGTCTCATGATGTCTCATGTCTCATCGTATAGATCGTATTATGGCTGATCTACTTGGGTCTCGTGACCGACTCACCAAGCCTGTTCCGGAGTCTCGAGATCTGATATCTTTGAAGATATCTTTGAGACCTTCGTAAACTGGTAAACTTCATAGCAAGTCCTTACTGGGCCGCTATCAAAGTTAACCTCGGGCATGGAAGCTCGAAGCTCACCATCTGATGGCTTCAACTGCCGAACACAAACTATTTCCGGCAAACAAACAACCACAAATTCTAGTGGGCTGTTTGGATTGGTTTGGTGGTGAAATGGAGGGGTTTCCCACTTCTGTGATACAAGGGCATTCCCCTTTTTATATGGGGGGGTAGTCTTTGGGAGGCCCTTTTTGTTGTATCACAGAAGTGGTCATTTCCCACAGCCCTGGATTCCTGATGTTTGTCCTTACTCATGTACGCACACCCCATTCGATCGGTGTCTGAAGCTCGTGCTGGTAAAGCGTGGGCCTTTCCTACGCACACCCAAGCGCGGCAGCGCGGGGCCGAATCCAGTCCGGGTCAAACATATTCTCACTGGCTGAATGGATTGGCCCAAAGAGTTCGAAACTTGTTGCTCACCCAAAAAAATGGTCCAAACCCAAGAAGTATATAGTATAAAGTCCAGAAACTGAGGGAAATCGAGCCGTTCCTTTCAAGTTGTTGCTTCATCGCAACCTGCAAAGGGCACTAGCCGGCGAGGATTTACACACCCACAAGACTCCACCGAACTCCGTCAAGACTCACCACCAAGAAGCACAACAAGCACGTTGCGCCTCTGCAAACCGCAGAAATTCTGACCTGTCATTGGAGTCACGAAGTCCGGCGGTCCAAACAACCAACCGTCCAAACAACCTTAAACCCAGCAAGAGCAACGACCCAAGCCTCCCTCGCATTAGATGTATATATATATATAGATAATTGTCCGTACTTGTAGCCCTCTTGTTTCAACAGTTTCAACCACCTTCCGTTTTTTTTGTTTGGCTTTTTCCATCAGGGGGCCCTTTTAGCAAGGGGTCTGAGGCTCATTCAACTCATGTCAGCTGGCCTTGGCGAACCGATCCACTTTCTCCGTGGCTTCCAGCATCTCATCCTTGCAGTCTGGCATGCCCGAAATGGGCTCCGACAAGTCCTCAGCGGTCCACCGATCCCTTGCGGAAAGTTGGACTTCTGGCGGGCGCTTACTGAAAAGGACGGGCTTGGGGAATATATATATATATATATATATATACACATATGAACACTTGGATTGGGAACACTTGGATTGGGGGTTGAGAAATCCTTCTATGTGTGTTGCTTCCAAACGAAATAAGCCGAGCTCCGGCGAAAAATTGTCTATGGCTCGCCGCCGAGCGTCGCTAACCATCCGCGGCATGTCCATTGGCGGCGGGAGGGGCCTGCGGTGGAAAGAGGCTCCCCAGCGAAAGGGAACTCAGATGGAAAAAACCAATGCCCCCAAGAAAGCGGGGCTTTTTTTTGATCTGCACAAGACACACTCGGAAACCGGAATTGAGAGGGCCCAAGCAGTCTTGAAAACACCAAGAGGGGAATTTTGAAGGGCGACAAGCAAAACACAATTCCGGAGCGCGGGTTGCACTGGTTGTTTTCGATATGAGGGCGGTGTCAAAGTTCCCGCCGAACGTTCTGGTATCACTTTGAGAAGCTGGCAACTGTTCGAAGAAGGGCACATGCTAAGGATTCTAGCGACCCCTTTGACATAAGCGCTGGCCGAAGCGTGCAACTTGACGTAATGAATGAGACATCGTCTACGACGGAAGGGATAAAATTAAAAAGGGGATCCCGAGTGCTACGGCGTCCGCGAGGAACAAGCTATGAGCAGCGCCCAATAGCCATTGCATTGAGTTTTAGTTGCTTGCGGATATAGCCCGTGCTATCATTAATGGTAAACCAGGCAGAAAAACCACCTACTAAACGGCGCCTTTTGGCTGCTCGCAAGGGAAGAAACTGATAGCCGAAGAAGGAATAGTCGCGCGCTGCCCCATCAGACAGAGGATGATGACTTCCAGCCTTACCTTGAAATCTGTGAGCAAAGGCTGGCTGACGAGTCACCGTAACCGGCCAGCAAGCCAGCAATCATAGGCATTGTTGCGAGGGCACTTTAGAGGGAGCCCAAGGGGAAGGTAGGCAAAGCTTCCCTTCGCTCAAATTGTGCAGTGACTTTCCGGCATTCCAGGTACTCGCCATGAAGCTTCCAAGCAAGACCGGGTCGACAACCGTGGAGAAGCAATGCAGGCGCTTGCAAATGGCACAATTGCCAGGCGACCCGACCCGCAAGCGGAGTCACTTGATTCCGTCTTCCGAGGCAACAAAACTCGAAACGTGACCTCCTGACCTCGCAAGCCAGGTGCAAGCTCAACAATCGAGAAAGTTCCTGCTATGACAGGAACAGGTGGGACATCGCCAAGACCCACTCCCGAATTCCGGGCAAATCCGCAGGAAATGCTTCTCTTTTACACTAACAAGGCCTTGGGAGCAACTGGATATGAAGGAACAGTACGAACCCTTTCAAATGGCTGTTTCCTTTGTCTAGGTCCTCCAGAGAGGTTAGAATAAGGCTACCAACTGTTTCTGTAGCCTATTTTAGTAGAATAAGAACCCTCCCCCAAAACAGATTTGGTCAACGGGCACTCCTGCGGGACCTAGTGGTTCAAGTAGATCTCAACATAGGCCCGTTGAGCCCCCCGAAGTCGGAAGCTCTGGGGTTTGCTTCTGGCCACGGGGCCCGAACTCAAGCTGAGGAGGGAAACCCCTCCTAACAGGAGCCGAAAGCCTAGAGGGGGGGGAGGGGGGTTTATGGCTTCTCAAAGTCGCGGAGCCCATAAAATCGTTGGATTCGTGTTGGTTTCCCCTTTAACAACCCACACAAGGGGGGCTCCCTCAAAAATGACACCCTCGCATCAGGCCATCTGAAACTCTCCGCACAGCTTTAGTCGAACACATACCATTCGGCCACCCTGGTTAGAACCAATGCCCCACTTCCCACCAAAGCAAATCCGATTCACAGAACTCGGCCTGTTGGCAGTGTCTACACCATCGAGCTGCTCCATCCTGAGTGGTGTGCTTGGATCTCCGCAAGGAGCCAAAGGAACTTTGGACGGGTTTTGGCCACAAAAACAACACGGTGTTGCTTAAAGCACAAGGGAGAATGCGTCATAAACCCCCTCTGACAACTCCAAAAGTCCGAAATCTAAGGAAATGGCTCACCAAGCATCTTCGCAGCCACATGCGGAAGATCGCTCGGAGCCTGCAACGCGGATGCCTCGCCCATCTGCTTGGCAGAAGGGTAAAAGGCTTCGCGCGGCGGAATCGGCATTGGGGCCGAAAAAAAAACTCGCAAGGCGTGCGGTGTTACCACCGCCCCCGCCTTCTGAGCCGGAGAGCCTCGCGGGTTCTTGGCGAGAGAGCCAGCTTTCTTCTTTTTGTAGTCTGGGGGGAGCCTGCGGGTCAAGGGGGTGAATCAAAGCATGGGTTAAACTCAGGTTTGGCAAAAACGATGCCAGAGTCAAGGTTCTGCTGAGAAATCATTTCTTGTTTGAAGAGAAATCTAGGCATTCGAGAAAGAAGGGCACCAAAGTGCAAGTACATCCCACGCCATTGGGGGAAGCACTTTGGGTGGAATCCCATGCTGTTTTCAACGCTTTCGCACCCCTGGTACCGTCACCCTGTTCAAAGAAACAATAGCTTTTGCCGGAGCCATTGACAGCCATAGGAAACTACTGTTCAAGTCGGAAGCTGAGGGAAGCAAAACGTGAACCATGAGTCCAACGGTCCTAACCTCACTTCCTGAGCGGATGGGCCAAAAAGAAGCTCAAACGGCTTGCTTGCAATAAAGAAAGGTCTTCCCCCCCAAAAAAAAGAAAAAACACGGAAACTCGGGGAGTGGGAACCAATCCCAAAAACGGAAACCAACTCAAAAAAACGAGGTGTGAGAACGAGGTGTGCAGACCAACTTTTAAAACTGTTTGTTTGCAATAAAAGCAAATCTTCCCAAAAAGTGTGGAGAAGAAGAAAAAAGAAGAAAAAACAACGGAAACTCAAAAAGTGAGAAACTTTCCGTACTTTCCCCTGGCCCTTGCGCGACCCAACGGGAGAGGTCCCCACTGAAGCTGCACAGCTGCCCAGTGAGGCCTTCCCAGCTCGGCCTCGAGCAGGTTGCTCCAGGTTTCGTCGACAAATTTTAACAAAACAGGAGACTTTAGGTTAGCTCTCTTGTGTTGTTAGTTGCTGGTACCGCCGCCGTTTTCGCCTAGTTATTTGGTGTATTTCTCATGTCTTATTGACAGTTTTGGGGGTACTTGCAGGCTTTACACATGAGCCTAAGCTGCACAAGTGGTAATACACACGCGAACGCGCATCCACAACTGCTGCACCCACAAGTGGTAGTACACACGTCCACCCGCATCCAAAACAGCTGCACGCATGCTGGTACAATTGACTATAAGCACGCCCACGCGCATCCGAAACAGCTGCACCCGTGCTGGCACAATTGATGCTAAACAGGCCCATGCGCATGCACAACGGCTACACGCATGCTGGCACTATTGACTATAAACACGCCCAGGCGCATCCAAAACAGCTGCATGCATGCTTGCACAATTGGTTATAAACACGCCCGCGCGCATCCACAACCGCTCCATGCATGCTGGCACTATTGACTATAAACACGCCCACGCGCTTCCAAAACAGCTGCGTGCATGCTTGCACAATTGGTTATAAACACGCCCGCGCGCATCCACAACCGCTCCACGCATGCTGGCACAAGCGGTAATACATATGCGCACGCGCGTCCCAACCGCTGCACGCATGCTGGCGCAAATGATAATACACACGCTCACACGCGCATAGCATGCCAGCACAAGTGGTAACACACACGCCCACGTGCATCCACAACAGCTGCATGCATGCTGGCACAAGTGCTAATACACAAGCTCACTCGCATCCACAACCGTTGCACGCATGCACACTTGAACATCTACTGAACAGGATGTTGTCACAACTCACACTTGAAACTGAACAGGAGGTTGTCATAACCCGCACTTGACCCTTTTGGCTGCCGCGACACAAACTTATCTGAAACGACTTAGTTCGTTGAAATTCTACTTGATCGGTTTTTTTGCTACCATGTGCTGAATGCGTTGGCCAGCGCAGCGAATTGTGAAGCGGGAGGCTTGATCCGTGCCAGGCACAACCCCCCCTTTCTCCAGCCCATCCCTGTCTCCAGATCAATGGGACCTTACAATGGCCAGGAAATCCCCTAAGAAGCCCATGACCGTCGCTACCAAAAGGGCGTTTTGATCATGGCACACGTGGCCCCATTTAGACGCCCAAACTTCAAGCCGGTTCGCCTCCACCTCCAGCCCCGGCGCAGACTCCAGGTGGTCCACTTCAGGGAGGGCTTCAGCCTCGGCACCAAATGCTTCACGTTCACAAGGCAAAAGCCCAGGAAGTTTTTAGGAAAACCCATGAAGTTTTTGAGGAAAACCCCTGAAGTTTGAGGAATTTGCCCTAAAAGTTGAAGTTGATTCCTCGAATTTTACCTCGAAATTGGAGAAGCCTTCCATGTGAGTCAACAAAACCCGGTACTCAAAGCGTCCACTGAAAGCCGTGGAAAGATTTCAGAGGGCGGCCGCACCTATTTCCGGCGGGGACAGCCCCGAACTATGCTTCATCGACCCGGGTTTTCATGTTAGCTCATGTGGATCAGCACCCGTTTCACCCATTGACGGTTGGCTCTAAAGGCGGGTGTAAAGAAATTACATAGGCCATACTAACAGGGAACAAACGGGGCAGGCAGTCCTTGCTGCTACTCTTAAATGTTGCAGTGTGCGTGGTTGAGTATTTGTTTGTGTGTGTGTGTGTGCTTGTTTGCGTGTTTGCGTGTTTGTGTGTTTGCGTGTTTGTGTGTTTGTGTGTGTTGTGCGCGTGCGCGTGCGCGTGCGCGTGCGCGTGCGCGTGCGCGTGCGCGTGCGCGTGTGCGCGTGTGCGCGTGTGCGCGTGTGCGCGTGTGCGCGCGTGTGCGCGTGTGCGCGTGTGCGCGTGTGCGCGTGTGCGCGTGTGCGCGCGTGCGCGTTGTGTGCGCGTGCGCGTGTGCGCGTGTGCGCGTGTGCGCGTGTGCGCGTGTGCGTGTGTGCGTGTGTGCGTGTGTGTGTGTGTGTGCGTGTGTGCGTGTGCGTGTGTGCGTGTGTGCGTGTGTGTGTGTGTGTGTGTGTGTGTCTGTGTGTGTGTGTTTGTGTGTGTGGTTTCGTGTGTTGTTGTTGTTTGTTTTTGTGTTGGTGTGGTTGTGTGTGTGTGTGTGATTTTGTGTGTTTGTGTGCGTGTTTTGAGGTTGATGACTGTTTTGTAGCGTGTTTTTGAGCGCAGTTTGCGTGTTGTGTGTGTTTATGTGTTGTGTCATTTCTTGTTTGTTCGCGTGGCTTTGCGTGTTGTTGCGTGTTTGGGTGTGTTTGTGTGTGTGTGCGCGCGAGTGTGTGTGTGTGTGTCTGTTGTGTGTGTGTGTTTTGTGGTTTTTGTGTGCTTTTGTGTTTTTGTGTTGTTATTGTTCGCTTGATTGTTTGTTTGCTTGCTTGCTTGCTTGTTTGTGTGCATGCTTGCATGCTTGCTTGCTTGCTTGCTTGCTTGCTTGCTTGCTTGCTTGCTTGCTTGCTTGCTTGCTTGCTTGCTTGCTTGCTTGCCTGCTTGCTTGTTTGTGTGTGTGTGTGTTTTGTGTGTGTGTGCGTTTGTGTGTGTGTGTGTTTGTGTTTGTGTTGGTGCTTGTGTTCGTGGTTGCGTTCGGGTTCGCGTTCGCGTTCACATTCGTGTTTTGTTTGTGCGTCTTTTTTGTGTTTTAGTGCGTGTTCCTGCGTTGGTTTATTTAATTTCAATTGTTTTGGGTGGTGTTGCGTGTTGTTGTGAGTTTTTGTGTCTGTGTGTGCATACGTGCTTGCGTGCGTGGGTGCGTGTGTGGGTGTGTGTGTGGTGTTTTGGGTTGTTTGTGTGCTTTTGTGTGTGTGTGTTTTTTGTTGTTGTTGTTGTTGTTGTTGCTGCTGCTGCTGCTGCTGCTGCTGTGCGGTTGTGGTTGTGGTTGTGGTTGTTGTTGCTGTTGCTGTGGTTGCGGTTGCGGTTGCGGTTGCGGTTGCGGTTGCGGTTGCGGTTGCGGTGGTGGTGGTGGTGGTGGTGGTGGTGGTGGTGGTGGTGGTGGTGGTGGTGGTGGTGGTGGTGGTGGTGGTGGTGGTGGTGGTTGCTGTTGTGGTTGTGGTTTGGAGTTGGCGTTTGCGTTCCGGTTCTCGTTCGGGTTCGCGTTCGGGTTGACAACGCGGGCCTGCAAAGGGTCCCTGTTTTTCCCACATAGCTCGCCGGTGGCTGAGACTTGGCGGGTTCATTTCATGCTGGTGCTCAGCTAAGGACCCAAACTGAAGCGTCTGTGCTGTTTCCTTGAGACCTTTTGGTTGGTTCCGAATATCTCTTTTTTTGGCTGCTGGGTCTGATCCCCGAAAGACTACACTTGCGACCTGGGGCTGGCCAATTTATTTAAGTCTTTAGACATCACCTGGGTTGGTTTCCCAAGCCTCAAGAAGAGTGCCCTCAAGCTGGCAAAACGTCGGCCGGGGTCAAAAACAGGCACGCGGCCGCAAACGGCAGCCCCCACCGGTTTCTGCTGGCACATGCCGGGTTCCCTTTGGTGTTAAGCCTTTTTCAATCAACCCCAACCGCAAATCGAGGGGGGCTGTCTTAACAGGACCCATTTGGACGCCCAGATTTGAACATCAGCCTTCCGGTTGGCTTGCAAGCGCCTTCCCCCCAAAAAGGAAGCACAGGCCCACAGAAATGGATAGCTCAAAGTGAAAGTGGGGCAAGCCGCGGGTCTTCGGTTCCCTTTGTCTCAAGGGTGCCATGGGGATTCCATCTTTTGAGTCACATACCTTGGTTGACGTTTGGAAGGGGAGCAAAAATCTTCAAATCTTAGCAGTTAAGCGGTTGGAGCTCCACTAAGCCACCATAAGCAAAAATTGGAAAAATGCTTCCCAACTCAAATAATAACAACCATGATACGGCCATGGGCTTTTCAAAAGCCAAATCGGTTCGCCCCCAGTGAACATCAACCAATCCAACCACCAAAATCGACTAACAGCTCTGAGGTGCCGAAGCCGTCTTGGCCCTCAACTTGCCTCGCTTGGAACAGGGCGCCAAGGGCTTGGACCCAAAACCGGGTGGGTCCATGCTCAGTTCAGTGACCCCGGAAAAAAAGGGACCCTTCTTGAAAAAGACCCTTTTTGGGTGGGGCAGCCACGAACCAAAAAAGGGGAAAAAGGGTGCCACTGAACAACTGAGCATGGAAGGGCCGGGTTTTGAGGGAAGGGGTTGGTGCTCGTTACTTCTCAAAAACATGGAACCCTCAGTCTTGGAG